GAGCTATCACTTGCACAAAGATTGTTCCCAAGTTCCACCCTCTCAATCATTTCTATATTAGAAGTTAACAACAAATCTAAAATAATATTGTTTCTAGTTGGTTCCTTGACCACTTGGTGAAGAAAACCATTTGAACAGTTTCCAAAAACCTTTCTCCCTCATGGTTTGACTCCCAATCTATACGCCTGAAATTAAAATCAGCCATAATCATAATCTCATAAACAGCTGAAATCTTAATTTCACTGGTTTCTGACTAATTTCATCAGAATCAGTTGGTGGTCTGTAACAAATTCCCACTAAAAGCCTTTTCCCTTTGTATCTGCTAACAGAAACCCAAAAGTATATTGGGAGATATACATAAAACTGATGATCAATCATCTAAATTATCCATATTAAAGTGAATCTCACAAAGCTGACCAAGTCTATCTAATGTATTAATACCACAACAAATCCTACAAAACTAACAAGTCTCCATCTGATGTAATCATATCACAATGAATCTTGCAAAGATAAGAAGTCTCTAGTCAAAGTAATCATTTCGCAACAAATTGCACAAAGCTGAACAAGTCTATCAAATGTGTCATGTCACAATACAATGAATCTTGCAAACTTGAACAAACTGAGTTAAATAAAAAATTATTTGTTTATAATAATACTGCAAACTTAAACATAATTACACGAGTTATAACTTATGCCTAGGCAAGCTACATTTTTTTATGTATACCAGGAAGATTGCACTTTGGATCATAAAACATAAGCAATAAAAATTTCTTTTTCTTTCTTTCATTCTAATACTAAAGCTTTAGAAAATGCATACTTTTACAATTATTGTATTTTTCATGCAAGTTTGTGTTTTTTTTAGCTATTTGTTTGTTCATTTTCATTGCCCAACTACATAATGGGCTACCTGTGCTCTGTCTGCAGGGAATCAAACCCCATATTTTAGCATAAGTCCATAAACTTGCATGGAGGTACTTCTGAGTCATTAGCAAGTATACTGGAATAAGAAAAGCACCAAATATAGAATGAAAGTGTCCAATGATCAGTTTGATTGAAAACATTCGCTGCAGGTGTGCAAACTGCCTTGGTCCACTAAAGATTTAGGGTTGTACATGTTCTCAGATGCATTCCTAGCCATTTGGGACATCTTTCAGAATAAAATTTTAACTTGACTTTGTAGAAAAAAGAAATTCAGAAATCACTTAGAACTTGTCATATTATCAAATGGACCAACGTGATAATCACATGAAGAGAGTTAAATTTTCTAAAACCTCAGTTGCACATAAAAAACATATCACTGAATTAACCAATTATGACCATTTCCTTGTACAAATGAAAATGCTTGAAAGTTTAGACCAATAGAGATTAGAACAGTGTTGATAAAAACAACAACAACAATGTTTTACACATTAAATTTAAATCATGCTTTGTAATCATACCTTAGTGGGAAAAACTATTTTGATGAATTTCTGTTTACAGATGGAAAACTTACATCCATGGAAGTAAATATATTTTTAACAATAACAACAAAAAACCTAATGCCCAAAATAATTTTGGATACAAACCCATTTAAATACTGTATTCTGCAGCTCAAACTTTTGTCTGGGAATGGAAGGTAACTATTAGAGGATTCTGTACCAGCTTTTATATATATATATTATTAACCCTCTCGCTATGGGGCTCAGTCAGTTCAACTGAGTTCATAATCCCACAATGACCATCAATTTCCATACTATAACTTTTAATATATTTTGTGTATCTTCACAAAATCTGGCAAGCTTTCAGTTAACATTACAAGTCTTTTGTAAACAAAAAATCAGATTTTTTTAATTAAACGTTAATTTTCATGTTAAGATTAAAAATACTTTTCTTCATCTGAAAATTTTCAAATTTCATTTGTATAACTTCTACAACCTCCTAAATAAATACCGATTGTTTTATTTTCCAAGAAAACTTTATATATCGTCTGTTATTTTCTCTGCCCTAACTCTACATGAACTCAGTTCATTTGACTGACCTTGTAATCACCATAAATAAAAGTTAACATTTTCTTACACTGAAAGTGTATTTCTGACAGATACCTCCTCTCATCCAGAGCCATCTCAATCCTGGTCTGCCTTATAAGTATTGCTAAAAGTTTGTACTAAAAGCACACAACTCTTTTATACCCCTCAATTTATGCCATTTTTCTTTTGGACATGTACTGATCATGTGATCATTCTCCACCAATCATGTTGCACCATCTATACTAGCACAGCTAGCTCCTCCTACTATTCTATAACAAACCTCACTTTTCAGAATTGGCAGTTACACATTGGATACATCAGTGGGTGAGAGGAGGTAAGTACCTACTAGAAATACTTTTTCAGTGTAAGAAAATGTTACCTCCTCTCACCTACAGCTATAATACCACACTGCATACGTGGAAGGGCCGGTGAAGGCACATAAGTAACCAAGGGAGCAGAAAGTGACTGTGCCGGGAGCACAGATGTGAAAAATCATGAAAGTAAAACACACCTGAGGGGTATAGCACTACTTCTGGAACATGTATGCTCTATGCCCAGTAATCAAAATCAGATCACTAGTACAGGCACCAACAAAATAAGTAAGATACAACTGAATCACATAAGCATGTGCCAAGGGCAATGCCTTGGATAACATCAGAGTAAAATAAGTGGAGTCCAACCGGGAAAGATCTCCAGGGGAAATGCCCCGTATAAGATAAGTAGATCAATAAGTGCGGTCTGCCCTTTCAAAACCAGGGGAAAGCACCCTGGATACAATGTGTCATGTCAAGTGCAGTCCACCCAGGGGAAGCACCTTGGATATGTAACATGATGAGAAAAAACATCCACGGATACTAGAGTGATAACGTGGGTTGTCTAAACACTATCATTGTCAACATACATGTGATATTCTGTCCACGAGTAGCAAGATGTAGTACCAAACGTATTGATAGTGAGCCATAATAAGGTGCCTGAGAAACACAAAATGACTAAGTGGCTAGGGCTAAAGGACCATGAGTGAATAGGCCAAGTGTGGTCCCCTGGGCAGAAAACATCCAGGGGAAGTACCTTGGGATATGACGTGTTATATGACGAGATCAACAAGTGCAGTCTGTCTGAACAAAAACATCAAGGGGAAGCACCTTGGATACATAATACATTTTGGGATACGATAGATTATATTAAGTGCAGTCCATTCTGGCAGAAAACATCCAGTGGAAGTGCCTTACTTCAGATATACAATTATCAAGTGCAGTCTGCCTTTGCAAAATCAGGGGGAAGCACCTTGGGATAACAACCAGTTACGTCAAATGCAGTCCCATCTGGGCAGAAAACATCCAGGGGAAGTGCCTTGCATAAACTATTTGATCAACAAGTACGGTCCACCAGGCACATATATCCAGGGGAAGCTCCTTGGATTCTGAACAATTTGTTATTGTTTGCTAGTGCAATGATTATAGCGAAGATAGTTCTTTTCTAACTGAGTGGGTACTCATTATCCATAAATTTTGATTTGTGTTGTTCATACAAAACCCGGGGTAGGGGGAGATTTACGATGGGGAATCCGAAGGAATAACACACTGAACAGTTTATTGGTTATCTGTGTTAACCTATTTTGAAAATCAGAAAGATCCCAATTATAAGAATCCTGAGTCAGCAGGGGTAGGCAGAAATATGCTTTATTCATAAAGTCCACGAGTCTTACAGAAACACCTCACCTCAACAGTGAGAGTTATAGAAATATTCATAATTAATGCTAATATAATATGAAGCACACCTGACCAGGCAACATCCGCCACTAGGTGGGATCTTGAAATATGATGGAGTGTAGTGAAAATAATCTAAGAATTAATAATAATAATATGTCAACTTATCCCAGTCAAAGGCAAACAGACGTGTGTAGAATCATCGCAGGAGGAAGATGATACTCACCCGAGGAAGGTCATGTAGAGAATGTGCGATGAACATATTGGGAGGTGTCCATATACTGGCTTGAATAATCTCCTCCAAAGGCCATTGGATTAGAGCTGCCAAAGACATAGTCAGATGACAAATTTAGTGTAAGGAAATATTAAGCAGATGGCAATCCTCCATGGACCAGTCAGAATACTCGAGTTGTATGAGTAGACAAAATTAACCAGTGAGGGTAACAGGTGAAACATTACAGGATACAGAACCATGAAAGGGGGCAGTACAAGGCACATAACATAGCAAGGAAGGACATGGACAAAGAAGCCAATTTGGAACTGAAGGGGAGTACAAGTGGGAAATGGAAGGTAAGGAAATAAGAGAAAAAAGAGGAATGATTAAGAAACCAGGAAACATTAATGGCATAAACATTGGAACAACGATGACTGGAAGCAAGGTGGAGGAGGAAAGATGAATGAAGGAAAGGATGGTACAAGGAACATGTTGCAATGGCTTCTAAGGGTGAATCGGACAGGGCATGAAGGACAACATTGAGATTCAAATCCGGAAGAACAAAGGGATGTAGCAGATGGACCAGATAAAAAGAACAGAAAAGGAGGGAAATAATGGGGAAGAAGGCTTTCCAGAAATGGGAGAAAGGGAAAGTGTTCGACAGAGCAGCCCTATAATGGGCATCATACAAACCCTGGTCAAACAACCAGGTGAAGAATTGGGACAGATGAGGAACAGAAGGACTTAATGGTCAGAAGCCATGGCAAATGGACCAAAGTCTAAAGGTAGACCAATGCCTCTGTTGAACAGACAAGGAGGAAGGTCAACTGGTACGGGAAAGACGCGACACATGGAAGGAGACCCTGAGCAGGAGCAAGGGACTAGACAAAAGACGTTTGGATGAATGACGTCCAATTGCAGGAGTCCAGGAGCAACCAAATAAATGGTAAGGGTAGGGCTGCTGCTCCAAAAACGGCCAGAGCAGAGGGAAACTGCTTGACCCGGGCAATACAAAACAACAAGCAGAGCACGACAAAGAGTGTTCTGTCTAAGGGAAAAGACTCTAGAGATAAGTGTGATAGAAGGCAGCTACTCCCAGGGCCAACGGGTGTGGAACCATAGACCAAAAGGAAGGAACTTTGGTGATCCAGTGAGTGGCAAACACAAGTATATGAGGTATTACCAAGTGTGAACACACCCACCAAAATACCCATGGAGAAAGAGGCCACTTCAAGAGAAGAACCTGGTTGGGTCAATATAAGTAATTAGCCATCAGATTCATGATGACAGGAACATGGCATGCAAGCTCACATAAACTTGGAAACATGGGAATACCTATTGGAGGTGAGAAAGACACTTTGAAAATCTTCCCAAAGATTTCCTGGGAAAAAGAACAATACCTAACCCAGAAGATTACATATAGGTAAAGTAACAGGTGGAAGGTGTCATATAAAGAAATTTCCACTCAGTAAATATAACTTTCCTCACACACACACAACAAAAAAAAAAACATGAAAGGAAGAAATTGTCAGTCAAATGTAAGACAAGAACTCCCCGCGAACTGCAGTCAGGACTTCCCCAGCAGTCATGTGCAGAACTATTGTATATTTTTAGTAGGAAATTCGACAACCTCCATATATACCGAAGTCAATATTAACAAAGTAGAATTCTGAAAACAGAAATATTTCCAAAACAAGTAGAAACAATGGAAATCACACACAGGAAGTTGAAACTTGAAGTAGTGAAAACATACGTATGGACACTGGAATGCCAATCAAGAAGGTGAGGTTTGCTCTAGAATTGTAGAGGGAGCTAGCTGCACCAGTACACATGCTGCAATATGATTCATGGAGAATGATCACATGATCAATACACATTAAAAAAAAAAGCATAAATTGAGGGGCATAAAAGACTGATGCAATTTTAGCAATGCCTATGAGGCAGACAGGGATCGAGACAGCTCTTAGTGAGTGGAAGTAAGACAGTTCCAGAATATGAATTTAAACCTAAATTACACTTTTTCTTTCTCAAATGACTGCAGATTGAAATAGAAAACTACATATATTTATCCTAAACAGCTTAAAGCTCCTAACAGTCTACATATGTTTACACTAAACTTTATTGTTTTTTAACTAGGTCTAATTAATCATTCCACCATGAGTTGTAAATTGCTTGTTGAATGTATGGTTCACATTACCATATTGAATGAAAAAGCACAATCTGCTCATAAGCATATCCCATGAAGAATTATGTTTTCTTCATTATCTTACCTAAACATACACGAAAAACAAGAAATATAGTACTTACCTATATTTTCTTGTTTTTTGCTGTTGACTGCCAATCAAATTTAAGCCTACTTTTTTTTCATAATGACGGTACTAGTACAATAAATAATTTTTATTTACTTCAATAATGCACCTAAGAACACGAAATAACAAACACACAAAGCAATTAATATTTTATAACTATTATAATTTAACTGGTTTTCTAACTAGAACAAGAAGGGCTTAGATTAATTCTTTTCTGTTCGATCTGAACATTGCGAGATAAACTTTCAAACTGAAGACAAAACTGACAATACTCTGTACTGGAAACAACATAGTATTATATGTCATTTGACAGATTAAACTTTGCCTTTCTATTGGTTATAAATAACCAATAACCAAATATTGGTTATAAATAACACTTTATAAAACATAAAAAAGAATTATTGGCAATTTGTGAAAGAGAGGATGTGACAAGTGGGTCAGGTTTTCTAGCTTATGGCTCTGTAAGCAAACAAGATTGAAGACTATAAAAATTAGACTTTCCCTCAGTAATATCTATAATATAATGAATAATTTATGTTAAATTTCATACTTTTTGGAGAGGTGGTAAGTAAATTAGAGAAGAGGGAAGACCCACAGAGCAAATGTCACAATTCTCATACTGTGGGAGATTGAGGATTGTTTAAAATTAATTAATAAATTAAAACTTAAAAAAATTTTAAGATTTGATTTATTAACTATGTTTTGATGCAAAATCTATTTGTATGCATTGATAATAAAGTAGTTTGACATGATCACTCTGACCTACCCGTAGCAAAAGGGTTAAAGCTCTTGCCTAATAATATATCAATTGACTTGACATTTATAGAAAGTTGATTCAATTTTAAACAGAGGCATTGTAAAAAAAACAAACTTAAATACACTGTACATAAACTGTCAGAACATAGTTATTCAATAAAATCCTTAAAATTATACTTTTAAATACAAATTTCTAAGTTTTTGATATTGTCAAAAACATCAAAAGAAGAGAGAAATATACAAGATCATCCTACTACCTCAACTGGCAAGGGCTCATACAAGAATTTCTTGAAGAAATCTTTCTTGGAACTCTGGCAAAAAAGGACACATTTCCCTATAAAAAAAACATCAATGAATTATTTCATTATTAACAATTTATTTGATAAGTCAATAATTATCTGTTTATAATTTGTAGAACACAATAAGAATTCTTATACAATATGTTCATATCAGATAACCTTTTTCTTTTCATCATATCCATCAAACCAGCAAGACCTTTCTATATCTAAAGACAAAGTTTTTGGTATTATTAACAGAAATAACAAGCTCAACCAAAAACAACATAAATATACATACAGTATTTTTATTGTTTAACAAATGACAAGCCCAGTTATACATAGCATAACAAATATACATACAGTATAGTTATTAACTCTTGCAGCATGGGTTCGGTCTCTGTGACCGACCTTGTAACCATTTTGTGCCTCTTATAGTTTTCATGCTATAATTTTTAAATAGGTTAGCAAATGTTAAAGAAACTTGGTACATTATCAGTAAACATTACAATGTTTTCATATGCAAAATATAAATTTATTTACTAAGTCTTAAAGTTTGTAAAGCAATGTTTTACTCATGCCTTTTTTTCTTTTTTCATTTTGCCTATCTAACATGCAAAGTAATTTTCATTTTAAGATTAAAAATACTTTTATGCATCAGAAAATTTTCAAATTTCACATGCCAAAATCTTTATAATGTCCAGATAGTTATCAAATGTTTG